AATGTCTTCGTCTTCTACGTGTTCTTAGGAAGTTTTAGGGATTGATAAACATAATAAATCTAGCTATACGACGAAAAGACTAACAACTCTTATTTAAAAGAGTAATGTCTGATTACAATAGTTACATTTCTTATGATGAACTCTTTTCGTCAGACCATCGAAATATAATATTGAGCAAGCCGCTCATTTCGTGGTGTGCATGAGATGCAGAGAATCCCTTAGATTGAACACAAATTGGCGGCCGCGAGCTTTATCGCTACACGATAACCTGAATTGCCTTTGAGCTCACAAAAAGTATTGGCGTGTCGGCTTAATGAGACTCATTAAATATATTTAAGGCTTACCATTCATTTTGAAATAGAAAACCTAATTTTATAAGTTATTATACGTTTATTTATTTCATATACTCAAACACGCATTTATTTAATTATTTCTTTTCTCTCCCTCTAACTCTTCTAAAGATTTGGTCTTTCTTTGCGTAGTCTCTTAGTTCTATGGACGGTTCTAAACAATGTTTTTGATCAGAGCAATTTTTCAAAGCCTGAACCATGTACGTAGTACTTGTGCAGATTTAAAGGTACTTTCCCGACGTGAATCTGATTCTTGATTATATTCATACATACAAATTCAATAAGCTTTATAAATTGATAATAAGCTTTGGTATCAAGGTCGGGCGATGTAAACAGAGCGATTACCCTCGCCGGAGCGGGCAGGGGGCGGGCGGGGGTCTGCAGGGTGGCGGGGAGGCGGGTGTAATTTGCCAGATCACGGCATCCCCGCAAATTGCAGGGAATAGTTAACCCAACAGTAATAAGAAGACATCATTCAATTTAATCAGCTCTTTTTTTGCGTACTTTGAAAACATCGCATATTTAAGTGGCAATAAAACAAAAGCAATTGGTTGCGTGGAAATATAATCCTTGTCCATCCATCGGTCGAATGTTTTATACATTGATTGAAAATAGCGACTATGAAATTGTATAGTACTTATTAAAATTTAATGTAACTTGTGAAAAAACATTTAAAAGATAACCTCCTTCTTTGATGTTAATAAAACCTTTATCAAAACAAATACACATCGACTGGGATTTTTTATATGACCAACATAACTGTACCATTGTATAATAATCCTTTTCTTTAGTTTTGAGGCAAGCAGAGAGTTTGGTGGCCGCAAAAGATAAAGTTGTCCGTCGCCAATGAATGATTCACACGTTAAATGGGTCAATTCATTATCTCGAAGCCGATCTGATAACGGATCGTTATATATTATTTTTATTTGTATTTTTGTTTGTTTTATCCGATGGCGTTACATTCCGATCTGACCAAGGAGTAAGAAACAACTCTGCTCAAATATTACGACTCTGCTCAACTCGATTGTCTACATTTCTCGGTGAACTACAAACAAAGTGATCCTATAAGGGTTCCTTTTTTTCTATGAGGTACGGAACCCTAAAAAGTATAGAATATCTGAGAATCTCCTTTAAATGTGGATTTAATATTAAATTGAGTTTTTAAATAATTAATACATTAACATAGTTTTACAACTTTGTATTTCGCTTGCTTACTAAAAGTAGTTTTCAATAGGAGTCTTGAATTCATAATTATTTTTGTCGTAATTGTTTCCAGTATTGATAATTTATATACTTTTATTATAGATAAAACTAATGTTTAAATGACGAAATACCACATCCAATACATTCAGTATCCCCGAAAAGATCTGTTCCCGGAATGAAGTACAGTGGTTGTCGCTTAGCGGCGGCCGCGGCCGGGAACAAAAAAAACTGCGTGTGCCCGACGTCGAGGTGTCGCGCTGGAAGTGGCACTGTCGGCAAGCGTACTTCTACTTCACTACTGTTGATTTAATATGTTTAAAGTAAAGTGTCTAATTTTTTTGTGGATATACACGTTAGATATGTCAAATTTTATCTCATGCAGATATTAGAATTCACCTCTCAGACCTCTAGCGCGAATTTTTGACAAATTATAATTATTGGAACATTATTCGTATGCTTCCAAACTGAGATCTTGACAAATAAATAACAACGTTAAACTGGAAGCGTTATTATTGGTGATACATATTTAGGAGTAAAACATACTTATATAGTAATAAAATAAGAATTTAAAATTACCTCGTCGGTAGTCACTTCTAGTTATGTTTTATCAGTGTATGAATACCTCGGGGCGCCACCTTCCCTTATCTGCCGTCGTTCCCCCGGTGGGCCAGTGGTCAGCACCGCACCATCGCACTGTCCCACCACCGGCAAAGGCTTTATATACGTTTAGTCTGTAGATAAAGTGCTGCGATATCGCTAATTGAGAGCTTTATTTGTGCCTGCGAATATCCATATCTCCCATTCCAGCACTGTCACTATCTCGATATAGACATTAATGTCGCCTTATCTAAAACGTGTCAAACTTTTAGTTACAGCTTTTAGCACTGATAAAAGTTTATGGTGACTTACATATGAGTTTTAGATGTCACTTAGTAGAGATTTAACTCACAATCACTGTTTTATGAACTCTTTCTCATGTAAATGTACGCCTTATTCAAAGTTACAATAAAAATAATATTATAGACTTCCTCCATACTATTATTAATCGTTTTAAAAATATATTTGCAGCCAAATCACGAAATATAATGTACGAGACGCTGACAATGCAAGAGACAATCATCCTCACAGACAGACGGACGGACGGATAATGGTACATTGTTACAAATATTAATATAAAATGACAATGTGATTGTGACACACTATTTATGTTTGAAATGCGACTTGCATTTATTATATAATTATATTATAAATTTATTTTACCACTGAGAATTAATTAGGGAAACAGAGATAAATTGGAGAAACATTAGAAATTAATAGTCAAGAGACATGGTTACATTCTTTTTATTAACATCTAACTCACTAAAGTAAGTCAATATTATTCATACCACCAGCAGTATAAAACTTTTAGAGATGTGACCATAAGAGACACATCTAGTATCACCGCGTATCATCCGTTGTCGTCATCATAGCGGACATGACGGTGACATTTGCATGAGTTTCCGTTTGCAACCGCCGCGGCGCCACCGCGATACTACAGAGGACTGACGCATCAGTCCCTATGCCCTACACAACATATCGTAACATAGGTATTACAAGTAAACTAGAAGCTAGTGTTTCCACCGTGTAAAAACAACAACAGCCACTGGTTAATTTGATTGTCTTGAACAATAAACCAAAGCAAAACTGATAGATCAGACGATAAATAAAATCAAATACTATGATTTAATTCAAAATTATCTGATAATATTAACAAGAACGCATTGAGAACAAAGCTGCTATTATTCTAACGATTTCGTTAATCTTAAAAGTAGATATCTGCCCTCTATTTGTAATGTAAATCCAAAACAGCTGTACCCCCTGATATCGTAGACGCAGAGGCCACACAATACCTATCACTGACACCTGTTTGTCACATTTATACATGAAAACTGATAAGAAGTCAAAAAGCAACAATGGGATACCTTTAGGAGGCAATATTGTTGACTTGACGATTACGTCGGAGCAGCTTGCCGCGTGCGCTTTGATAAGCTTTATCGAACTTCTCTGAGGGTAGCTGGAGCTTGTAGCACTGCACCTGTTTTGTCCTTAAGTCCTTGTTTTTCAATATAACTTTTTACTTCTAAAAGAAACAAAAGAATTAACTCTAGCTTAGATAGTAAGTTATCAAAATTATAAAAGGCGTTTACCTAGACTAGATAGTTCCTAAATTTTATAGACTAAATGAAAGTCCGGGTATATATCCGGGTCAGTGGCGTGTTTGCGACATTGTCAACTTCACGGCACTTAGAGCGCTGGGTGGCCGCTGCGGTTATCTTCACTAAAATTAATCCAAAAGATACGACATCGAATGTCAAATATGAAAAACTTAGCCGTAGAATTGATATCAATAAATAAGTAAATCACATAAAGAATAAAGTAAAATAACAAAGCAGCAACAACGAGACGCAAGCTTTTATAATAAACTTGTAACAAAATCTCAAACGGGGCTCAATAACCAAACCAAATGTACAAAACAAAAACATCTCGAGATTGGTTTTTGTCCAAAAACGGTTGTTATCACATCAAACTTCCCACGTTCGGCCGACTGACTATACTTATTTCGCCTAAATAAATAGTGCGGGCATGATCTTATGACGCCGTGGATAATGCTTAACGGTTTATAAATTAGTGTGGTCCGAGACGTCGCCCGGCTCCCCGGGGGGCCGCATACCTCGCCCGAATGCCTTGCCTTTGTACCCAGCCTTATTACTGCATTTACACCTCTGCCACTGCGACTACGAGAGGCGTTTGACTCAACCAGTGCAGCACCGACATAAGGTCGATGTCGATGATCGGAAACTATCGATATCCGGTTTAAGTGTATTATTGTTACACCACATTTGCAGAAAGTGATCGCTATGATACATTTATGTTCAAATAAACATTTCTTTATTTAGCCTTCAATTATTTTATATGAATAAAGAAAGTCGGTTTATTGAAAAAAATTAGCATGGCCAAAACCTATTGACGTATCTTGATGACACGTGACAGTACTACAATTCCAAGTCCAAATCAATTGTAGCATATCGAAATTTATAATATTATCCAATTAAAAGCAACGCCACAGTTTATACGCTGATCCCTTCGCGGCATTAACTGGAGTCGGGACATAATTAGACACAATACAGGCTATTGTGATGTATCGACCGTTCATGTTTCATTTCACGTGCATAACGCAGTTCCTGACAAACAAGCGTGATTGATGCCCAGCGGTGGGCACAAAGGGCCCATTGACATCGCTCGCTCGCCTACTACCCCGCCACCCCGCCACCCCGTCACCCCGCCACCCCGTCACCCCGCAACACAATTATCCATTCACGTGGCTCTTAGGTAAACATTTTGTCCACCCTAATCAAATCAAAAAAACTTTGCTACAAACGTTAGGACAAACAATTATCACAATACAAATATATTTAAACAAACTTTTATTTGACATAAGCGGACAATAAATAAACTAAAATACTCAAAATTTAAACAGTCCAAACTACAAAGACTACAATGATATAAAACAGAGGTATCTATGGTAGCGGGAAAAGGCTGGAGGCGGAGTCGTGCAGCCCGAAGCGCTTGGCGCAACTCTGCTGGTGAAGCTCGCAGCAGTACGCCCGCGTGAAGCGCTGCCCGCAGTAGCGGCACTTGTAAAGCTCGCTGCCCCGGACATACTCCGAGTTCAGTACATGTTGACATACGCCGCAGTTCCTTTTCAACATAAAAACATTGTGTGAAAATTATGTTCCAATAAGAAATTACAATTCTTATTGGAAATAATAAGTAAGGCAATGGGGGGAAAACATACAAACATTGATTGTTACTTATATGGAAGATAGAAAAAGATGTATAATAATAATATCTCAAAGTAATCTAACCTCGCGAAACCTAATTCATGACTTTTAATATGATCATTTAGAAGTGACGCCTTGTTAAACGCGGCACCACATATGTCGCAGACAAATTGCAGCTCCCCTTTTTCCAGATAATTTGAGCTGTGAAAGAACGGTAAGTAGGAGTAGTAGTCGATAGTGGGCACATTAGAAATTAGCTGTCTAATTGTCTCTGCAGACACTCTTAGTAGAGCGACAACGCCTAGCGGGTCCGTGTTAGTCCCTTTTACTGACGTTGTTTTGTTGTCTTCGTTTGAACTAATAGAATTTTCTTCATTCATTATAGTTTCCTGGGTGCTCTTTACCAGAATTGTGAAGGGTCTGCTAACTTCTACAGATTTGTCAGAGGTAGCCACTGTGGCCATTAAACCTATAGACATAGTTGGCTTCACAATTTGTGTATTCATTTTAGTACTACTCTTACTACCAATTACAGTACTTCGGAATTTATTTCTAAATTTGACTAAGTCAAAACGTGACTCGACTTTAGCTGATCTAGCGCAAACTATTGACACGTCCGTGTTCACAGAAGCATCTTGTGTTTTTTCTACATTTAATGTATTCTTTTTTAAACTTATTAACACTTCATTTGAATTCTCTTTATCTTCATTTATAGTTTCAATTTTTTTGTCTACTTTGTAAGATTTCTGTGCTTGAATTTCTTCGATGAGCAAATTAATAGTTTTTACTAAATCGTCAATTTTAGTTTCGACTTTTAAAGAAGTATTTGTTAAACTTTTCTTTTTTACTTTATCTAATCTTTCAACTGGCCCATTTAGAGTTCTTTGTTGGGATATACTGCGGTTTACACTTCTATCTGTTTCTGGAGTCTTGGAATACGCTTTTGGCAATGAATATTTTGGTAAATACTTTTTCTCATATGGAACTCTGATCGTCGGATACAATGTGAGGTTGTCTCTATTCACATTCCTTATTGTCATTGAATTCATAGACGAATATAAATTGGTTCGTCCATCATCTCTATGTAAATTTATGGTGTTCGTACATGAAGATCTAGGAAAGCAAAAACTATTATTATGATAAGTATTGTGTCTCTTGATTTCTTTTATATAACCGATCATATTTTCACTTTTCACATATCTGTTGTCCACCTTGCAGCTAAGATCAGTGGATGGTTTTAATAAAAGCTTAGGATTCTGACTCTCGGGGATAAAATTCTCCTCCGACTTCAATAATTTTCTATATGAATCTTTTGCAAGGGACATGACGTTGCGTTTGTGTTTTTCTTGCAATATATTGATTATTTGTTGTAATTCACTTTCCTCTCTTTCATTTTTTATTGCTTTCATAAGTTTTACTATCACTTTATCAAGTCTTCTGTTATATTTTATTATTTTCGATACAAATATTTCTGTATCAACATTATCGGTTATTTTGCAATTAGATTGAGTGTCATCTGGAAAGTTTTCAAAGAAATAAGTACTTATACTGTTATTTATATACAATTTCGTTTTGTTTGAGCCATTACTTAAAGTCTACGGGCATTTATAAAGTGCACATAAATGTATAAGACTTACTTTTGTTTACATTAATATAATTTAATTGTAAATCTCGCTGTAGTTTACGTATATTTTCATTAGATATGATACCATTCTTCACGCTGTGCCGGGATATGAACTCGTCAACACTGTCCTGGTACTCCGAGCAAGCAGTATTGGCTACTACACTGCGACATCTACTACGATTATCGCTGTTACATTTGTGCATAAAATATTGTTCCAATTCTTCGAAGTTATGTCTCATCTTTTTTCGTTTTACCTTGCTTTATTACAATTACGTTAAATTTGACCAATGTATCGGAAACTAAAAATTTGACTGAACAATGACTGACGTTGACAGCTAACGTCGCGTTCAGTTGCGTTCCGTTGACTTCGTTCTTCAGAATTTCAAAGTTCAATACCTTAGGAAATAAAAATAAATTGATTTAAAAAATATCAAGGAGTTAAGGACCTTGATACGATCTCTCGTTATTGGATGTGTTGGGACAAATTCTGATGAAGAATAATAATATTGGATTCAGTATCAAAAAATTATAAGTAATTTTCTAAACGATATAATTTAGCATAATTCTATGTGAAAAAAAAACAATTATTCGTTGTTATGTTATTCCTTTGTGATCCGGCTACAACAACAAATATAATGAAAAGTTTAAATGTTATTTAAAGGAACCCTAATAATTTGACAATGAGACCACCCAAAGCAGACATAAATTGTTCTGCAGCTCTCAGCGCACAATGCGCCCAAAACGATCGCCCTTTATACTGACGTCATTAGAGCATCAGCTTATTAGGATTTTGATTGAAGCTTTATATACGACATGTCTTACAGACTAACGGTTGAAATCTTTATTAGATCCTTGAGATTGATCCAAAAATTATATTGATTACTTCGATTGATTATTTATTACGGCCTTATTATTTCTACTAGAAAGAAAATTCTATCGAAAATATACGTATCAATAAACAAAACATATTACCAGACTGAAATAAAAAAAGGTAAGCGAGTGGCGTCATTACACCAGCTATTTAGATAATGGATCGTCACAACAGTCGCGCCACACGTTTTTTTAATTTAATTTTCAAAGTTATGTTTGCATTTTTATTAGTTTCTCGAGTGGCACGGCACGCCCGCGGCAAGCGCCCCGCCGCTCGTTCGCAGCTTGTTACAGCTTATGTTAATCGATTCATAGAATATTCATCGACAAAACCACCCTTATACTTTGTCATATATTGACTACATTAATTTTTTTCCATTCTCTAGCCATGTCACTTCGTTGTCGCCTTGTCACTACACGCACTTTAATTTTTAAAGAACGATCTAAATAAATTATCTTTTATGTTTTTCTACAAGTGTGTGTAGAAACAAAAAAAGTTTTTAAATTACTCGATTTTTTATACAATCATAGAAATTAAGTTGTAATAATTTCTTGTGTTTAATTCAAATGTTTTCGGTTAATAAGCAATTAGTTGTTTGTGAACAACACAGTCATGTACCGCAATAACAAATACGAATTTCCAAATGATTTCCCCTCGACTACATTTCAAAAGTAATTCCCCATTCGAAGCACAAAAGTATTGTAAACAACTCCAAATGAGAGGATAAAGGACGCCCTTCAAAAGGGTCACCTTATAATGTAAATGCCCCAGAAACTTACCCTCGAGTTACCCCCGTACTCAATTAAAGTAATATTCCATTTTCTTGCAAACCAACCTATTTGTTTGGTTTACATTGCGTTGTTAGAATGTGCGATGGAGTCATACTCCACTGAGTAAACTTCAATGGATTTCATACTTAAGTGATGGTCGATTCCGAAGAGAGTCAAACCAGACGTAGTCGTTACGGCAAGGTGAAGGCCAGGGAATAGCGCGTGGCAAAAGGAAGACGTTGCTATGGAGACGCCTCCCGCGTACCCATTGCTAATCATCGCTGTATACAAATTGAATTGAAGAGAGCCAGATATCAAAAACATAGGTAATACTAAAGACGATACGATAATGAAGGTATTGAACATTCTGAAAACTGATAATAGGAATTTTAACAAGTAATTTTTATTTAGAAGATTTTCATTAACATTCTCGTTTGGCAGGCCATGTTTTTGAAGCTTTCATCACAAAGGCTCAGTAAACACTAACTCTCATTGAGGTGTTAGAAGACAATGTTGGTCTAGTTCATTGGATTTTTTTTGTTATACGTTAAAAATAAATGTAAAAAGATAAATTTGATGAGGAGAGTGTTCATAAGTATATTTGTAGTCGTGTTATAGAGAAAGACGCGACTGTGTCATTGTGGCGACATAATAGCCGTCCACACAGACGCGATTGTGTCTCAGCTCAAGGAATGTTTTTTTTATATTAGACTTGATCTTATTATTCATAGGTAAGCATTATTGTATGAAAGCAAGATTTAGGGTTCTGTGTGCAACAATGACAATTTCTTTTTTTATAATTTTTTATAGCGTTTATACATTTCGTGTATAATGACTATATTTTCGTTTACAATATACAAATGAAATGACATAAATAGTTGTTGGTACAAATTATGAAGAGTATTTTCCTTAGCATGAACGATTATAATTGTCATATGAGTACTGATATAAAAATGAAAATATATACAGAACCCGTCACTTATTAATATAGTCCATGTTAAAGAGATTTTTTTCACATCAAAACTTTATGTGAGGAATGCGATGTTGCGGAGATTACGTCGGTAGTACAAAGTCGATGGCTGCCAGTTGTATGGCGGTCATTGTGACTGCCATTGTTGGTGAGCCGAAAGAGGCTGCGCATTGAGCGCTACTTCGATAGAACTTAAGTTTACTTCTCGTAAATATTTGACGTCATTGTTTAAATTTGCAGAAAAATCTTATGACGTTTTAGGCAAGGAATTTTATTTGTTACTACTTAAAGTTGAAGTTAATAAATGTTCATACTAGGGAGCCTCTATGTTACCCTCGTATTGTAAACATAGTCACTTTATAATTTGACTAGGCTAAAAGCATAACTAGACAACTCATATAATAAGTATAAGACTTACTGAGCACTGTAATTTAACTTAAAACAGAGATAGTGTGTGTCAACAGGATTGCGTTGTCTCGACAATTCGTACGATAATTGAAACAAAAGGAAAAACCTCGCGACGTCGCAAACAAAGCTATCGGCCGTCGATAAGATAATGTTAACGGAGCCTCGAAGCAAACTCCCACGGTGCGGCCGAGCAGGCGGTCAGGCAGGCAGAGGGAAGGCGGGCGGCGGCCGCGCTCCCTGCACCTCTTGTTTGAACACGGATTACTCCAATGGTCCGCATATACTTGTGTAATGTGTACTGCAGGAACAAGTCACAGCTATCGAGTCGATAACAAACTGTTTAATCATACGCAAGCAATTACATTAAGATCTACTTACTACTTACCTTACTTAGAGTTTGTGTTGTCAAAACTTACTACAACAGAAGTGTTAACAAGAGACAAAGCTCATGAACACAACAAATAAATACTTCCAAAAGCAGTCAAGGCCACAACAAACCAGCATTCTTTTGACTAAAAGAAATAATAAATCCTTTTCAAATAAAACGCAGGTCGGGAACACGAGCTACGTTTTAGGCGGCGGAATTAAATCGGGTCGGTATGTCGAAATTTTAATGGATTTTGTGAGCGCCCCGCCCCCCTACGACCGCCGCGTCTTGCTGACCCCTCACCCGCCTCCGAGATTTTTATTATTTTCAAAGGGATCACAAATAAATATTTATGTATTTACAGTGTAGATACAGTAGAATAAAGACGCAAAAGATTAGTTAAAAATGAAAATGACAGCTGAACTGAGCCTGCCTTCAAAAACGTATGGCAATCCATAACGACACTCGTCAGCAAAGAACACTTAAACTTCTTAAACGAACATTTCACATTTAAATATAATAGTATAGTTTTCATCAAGCTATATTAAGCAACGAAAGAAAGGTTCCACCATCCAATCTATTTTTCAATTAAAACTAACTAAGATAAATCAACACTAAACCAATCAATTAGTAAACGTCGTAAAGTCCAATTGGATTAGATTCCAGCTCAACAAAAACTGAGAGACAGAACAAAAAAGTAGGCTGGAGAAGCTCGCACCGACCACTTTTAATTACAGCAGGCGTATTGTTTGACTGCGTTACATTTACAACAACAAAAAAAACAGGAACAAAAAATAGTTAAAGGATCGTATGAAGATGTCCGAGATCAAAGCGAGATCGATCCGATTTGGGATATCAGATAGTTGAGTGTGGAAGATATTGACTATTTAAATAAATAACCACTCAAGCTTTTGTTTAATGGGAATTAAATAAAAACAAATGAAAATCATGCGCTAGTATATCTCACAGGATTCTCTCGTTGAAGCTAAGCCATTACCTTAGTTGTCGCTGATAAAAAAACGCAATAAGATTTCACGTCGATGGTCCCTTATTCCAACTTTACTGTAAATTGAGTCTTACTTACTAATTAAAATGAATATTATGAACTTTATTTCGAAATTAAAAATCCGTATTTGTTTAGTCAAATTGCTTAAAGTTAAATGTCTAAATAAACCAAATCGCTCATACACATACATACATCATCGTGCCTGTCAAAAACTTTCCATTACAGCTTAATACGAAACAATGTTTTATGAGGTAATTAAGCGGGAAAATTATATGAAATGTTTTAGTAGGCAATTAAACGAACATTTCACACGAGGGCGATTAAGTCAAGAGCGTTTAATGCACTGAGTTGCTATCGAACGATCTGTTCCGCGTCCTTACTGCCCCAATGTTACCTTCACATACAGTACTTAAACTTAGTTACTTAGAAATCGCATAGTTTTTTTTTCTCTCATGTAAACTCCGATTAATTGACTTTGTTGCATTCGATTGTCAAATTGGACTATCAAATTAAACAATTTTTATCCCAAATATACCACGATAACTGTCCATAGAAAAGAGTTAAACGAGTGCAAGTTGCTATCATTGCAACGACTTTTACACAATAACAACTGATTGTACAACGAGCAACCTTTACTGTTTTATGTTAAACTTTTCATCTAAAACGGATAGTGTGCACTAGCCCTTTGTAAGTGTCAGTTGCAGCGTATCATATCAGAGGCCACACTTCGGACCTCACGTTTTTTCTCTTGCATTTGTTGTGGAGCAGAGATTTCACGGCGGCGAGGTTCCCACACGCGCGGCTCCGGGTTCGATACCGACCACTTTTTTGCCACACGTCCAGTAGCTATGATATCCCATAGACAAAGATAAAATGAAACATTTCTTACTAAAATTTACACTAAACAATAATACCTTTA